TGCAGTGTGCAGCAGAAGGGTGGTCCTACCATCACTAAGACCCTCAGTCTTGGACAAAAAGGTATATTTCAAAGTTTACTGTCAGAGTTAAAATCTTAAACAGAAATACAGACACTCCTCACTTAACGACCGAGTTTCGTTCCAATTAGGTCGTTAAATGAATCGGGCGATAAGCGAGGAGCCTCCCCTTACCGATATTTCAAGCTTGTGGTACTTCTCTTTAGATATTGTTTTAATATAATTTATTTGTTTGATTTTTATTAATAATTCATTTTAATATTGACTATAAATGTAAATATTTATTATATTTATAAATGTTTATACAGTAGTGTACTTCCGGCGCTGCAGCGAGTAGTAGCCTATCCAGTAGTAAAGTATCTGTCTATCTGTCCGTCTGTCTATCTGCTGTGATAAACAGTGTGCTGCTCCCGCTACGTCTTTCTTCGTATATGTAACAGGTGAAAATTTATGAGTGAAACTGTAATAAACAAAACACAGGAAGATCTCTCATTTAGCAGAGCAAACTTACAACAAGCTGGCCGATAAGAGCTCATGTTAATCATCAACTGAATTACAAACGAGTGATATGCTAATTACATATATTGTTTCACAGGTTAGCGTCACTGCAATACGATGAATCGCTGTTTCCGTCCTTTTGCACATTAGTGAACTAAAACAACACATATAAAATAATAACTTCTACATATTCACTAAGATATGAAACAAGGAAAAACTTACAGCCATTGCTTTCGACGATGTAAAGAAAGTATAAGACACAGGCAAACTTTAACCTTGTGCATGCCTGGAGTTTAGAAACGCCGTGCGCAATACCCAGTGGTCGGAGAGTAAGTCCGGGCGGTCGTTAAACAGATAGGTTGTTAAGTCAGGAGTGTCTGTAATGTTTTTTAAGATGAAATTTAGAGATGTAAAGAAAACTCACCTATATGTTTTTAACAATTCATTTCAGGTACGACAACACCTACAGTCTCCATCCAAACACCATCTCCTGAAGACCTTGATGGAAAAAGTGAATTCTTCCTGCTCTGCCTGGTAACAGGCTTCTATCCTGAGGAAATATACATCATGTGGCAAGTAGATGGGGGCCAGTATGAGGAGGGTATTACTGGAGAGCCATTCCGGACTGGGGATACATACTCTGTCACCAGTCTGTTTACGGTCTCAAAAGTGGACTGGGACAACGGCAAGAAGTACAACTGCAACGCCAGACACGCATCTCAAAAGAATAAGCAGATACCTGCATTGAATCCTGTGCAGAAATCAATGGGTAATTCACTGGAATGTCTGTATGAATAATAATCAATTATTTGAAGATGCCACTGAGTTTCCTTACACTGCATAGTCACTGTTATCTCATGTGGACAGAGGAAGGTCAGTGTAGTTTCACGTTAGACATTCTAATGCTGGTTATAAACTTCAGCTTTTTCAGGAAGTCCACTCTCATAGTTTTTGTTCACCAAGTATGATAATCCACTGCTTCCCTTTTGTATTTTGTTGTCGGTCTTCGTCCCATTTTGTACTTTTATGTTGCACTGTGTGAAAAATCATTGTCTCATGTTTATAAAGCAAGATTAGTGAAGTATCATTACAAGATCACTGTAAAGCAGATAAATCATGGATGTAACATGTAATGATTTTTCTTAACTTTTTGCTTACATTTCAAAATATCTAATGTATGAATTGACACATTTTAAACTGCCATATGCTTTTGAAATCTATCCATAGACTTTCTGTAACTGCATATCCTATTCAGAGTCAGGGGCCTATTGGTGCAAGGCAGGGAACAACCCAGGATGGGGCACCAACCCATCACAAGGCACACTCACACCTACTGGCAATTTGGTAACTGCAATTAACCTCAGCATGTTCTCAAACTGTGGGGGGAAGCCGGAGTACCCAGAGGAAACCCCACGACACGGGGAGATCATGCAAACCCCACGACACGGGGAGAACATGCAAACCCCACGACACGGGGAGAACATGCAAACCCCACACACACGGAACCCTGGCAGAGACTTGAACCCAGGTGTCAGAGGTGACAGTGCTAACCACTGCACCACCATGCCGCTCCCAGTTTTGGAAATTTAGAAAATAAAATTTTTTGATGAACATCCCAGTTAATTAGACAGAAATTTGTTTTGTGTGATATCTGTTAACATTGTTTATGGTTTCCTGTGATGTCATTCTGTCTTATTTTAGT